GGGGACCAGCCCCAAGGTTTATGATTTGACTTCATTACAGTGTTTCAATCTGCCTAATAAATCAGAATTTCAAGGATCCTGAGTTGGATATTTGTAGCCAACAACGTGGCTTTTAAAAAACTCAAAAAAGGAAATTGGTGCAGATGGAGTGAGGAGGGTGGCACTCAGTTCATCTGCAGATGGAGCTTAGAGAACCCCAGCAGAAGGAGGTTCACCTTTAGAAACATCATCTGCTCCATCAAATCAGGATCCAAGCAGCTGTGGTGGGGTGTCACAACATCCCCAACAATGCTGAACACCCTCTCACTCGGCTCACTGGTCAGTGGACAAGAGAGGTGTTTCCAGGCAACCGTGGCCAGATCCTGTCACATCTGACCAGCTTGCCCAGTAGGCCAAGGGGTCTCAGTCCAGTGCCTCCATATCCTCCGAGACATAGGTAGCCATCAAAGCCTTGGCACTACCTGCCCAAAGCTGGGGTCTGGTGCGTTTGGACCCCAGTCTTGAAGCCATGCCCATGGCCCACATTGGCAGTGGCTGGTGTGGAGGAGACTGGCTGGTGCTGGTGCTGGTGCTGGTGCTGGTGCTGGTGCTAGTGCTGGGAGTGATGGCAAGGGAAAGTGGATCCCCCTCTTCCACATCCCCTCACCTCTGCACTGCAGCCTCCCTGATTTTGTTGACCAGCACCTGCATCCAGTGATCGAGGATTTTGGTGCTGCCACTGCACATGCTCCCCTTCACCCTCGGGTCTCACACGCCTGTCATCATGTGGACTGTACTGCACCACAAGTGATCCAGCCATCTCCTGATGCCCTCTTTCAGCTGCCTCACCAGTGCCTGCACATCTGGTGAAAGTGGCCTGCCCCAGCCAGGAACATTGACCCTCTGGAGCTTCTCCATTTGGTTCTCAGGTTCCCTCACTATGAGGATCAGCTGGCTGAGGAGGGCATTGCCAGAGATCAGGGTCTCCGTGGCCTCAAGGAAGGGCTTGAGGACCATCAAGATCTAGATGATGGTACCCCACTCAGCTCTGTTCAGGGGACCATTGATCCCGATCTCCCCAAGAAGAGCAATCTCATGGATGGCCTTCTGTTCCTTCACCAGCCTTTTGAGCATCAGGTATGTGGAGTTCCACTGAGTCTCTGCATCCTGCATGATTCTGTGCTGCAGAATGCTCAACTCTGCCTGTTTCTCCCACAGAATCTTGCCCCCCCCGATGCCGCAATGGAAGTAGCCCACCACCTTCCTCTATTTTGAAATCACTTGGCTTGTAGCAGTGGTGGTGGCAGTGCCATCACCGGCAGCCCTGTCCCGCTCCAAGGCATCCCTATGAGGTGCAGCCTGTGTGCTACACAGCGGATTCCAAAAAGTTGATATTACAGACAGCCTTCACCATATTGGCCCTGTTGTCAGTGATCATTTACCTGTGGGTGAGCTCGGCCTGCCCAATGAGCCATCCCTAAACCATGCAGTTCATGGTCTCCATGATCTCCCTTGCCATGTGGGACTCATCCAGCACCTCAGCTTGCAGTAGAGCCTACCAATGGCCTGACTGATCGCACCAGTGCCCTGTGCGGGAGAGGTAGGCATGATCGCCACACCTCCCCCTGGCTGCTCCAGATGTTTAAGGTGAAGTGCAAGGCTACCTACAGCCCTAACTTGTGCAGCTCTTCCCTTAAGTACTCCCTGCATGCTGCATACAGGGAGGGTACCACCGTCCTTTTAAAGGTGGTGCATGTGGACATTTTGTAAGATGGGGCCAGAAGTGTTATGAGCCACCTGAACCCTGGCCGCTCAACTAGGGAGAAGGGTTGGCTATCCAGAGCAAGCATCTCCCCAATGGTCTGGGTGAGCTCATTCGCCTTTGCAACTCAAACCCTCTGACTTCAGCTTTTCCCCAATGGTCCGGGGTGGCCTGTCTCTACTTTTGGGGGAAGGGAGCTTTGGAGTGAGTGGGGGACTTCTCTTTCAGCATGCTCACACTAGTGCTAGGCTGAGCAGCAAGAAGGGCAAGGGGGTGCTTCCTCCTCAGATGCAGCAGCATCGCTGTGGTGGAAAAGTGTTTCATGTCCTTACCCCAGCTGATGTGCCTTCAGCAGTGCTGGAAAATGGCAAACCTGGGATCATTTGCCAGCTAAAAATGTTCCCACACTACTCTATTCACCCGCTTCTGGGTTGAGGGTGAAGATGCTTCCTTCTCCCACTCCTTAACAGGCTGAGGCACAACAGCAGGTTGGAGCTGCCTCAGCTGAGCCTCTTGCCTCCACAACCTAACCTCCTCTGAGATACTGCTTTCCGGAGGAGACCTGGGCCTAGGGGAAATTTGAGGGGTGTAGAGCACAAATTCAAATTCCCCCTCAGTCCTCAGAATTGCTTGAGCTAGTGTACTCAGCATCCCTGGTTCCAGCTCCAGCTCCTCCTCTGGCAGTTGGAGTCTCATGATGAGAGATGACATTGGGGTGGAGGAGGCAGTGATTCCACTGCTGGTGCCTATTTCTGGACTGAGGGGAGGTGGTGCAGGTTCAGGGACGTCAGGTGCAGACACTGCTCCCACCTCCTTGCTTCTACTGGCAGCACAAATGTCATGGCTGCTTGGAAAAAGAATGCGTCTATACTTGGAGCAGGGGGGACTTGCAGCTGTAGGTCTCCCCCTACCCCCTCTCCCTCCACTGCCAGAAGACCTGCCCCTGCCTTTCAGCACACTTCATATTAATCTTTCCTGTGCTGCAAAAGGCTGTCTGTGTGTGTGTGTGTGTGTGTGTGTGTGTGTGTGTGTGTGTGTGTGTGTGTGTGTGTGTGTGAGAGAGAGAGAGACTCCTTTTGTGTTGTGTGTTTTATTCCCTTTGTGTTGCGTACATGCATTAGACTCTTCTTTGATTGTTTGTGTGAGAGAAAAATTCTAGTCTATGCTGCCAACGCAGAAAGAGT